GCACATTAATTGCACTCGTTGTGTTCTGTCAGACGTCCATCCTATCGTTTAATTATATTTCCCACTCATGAAATTGCCCTCTCTCGTATTTTCTGTTTTCCCCCTACTTTTCTTCATCATCTAGCATTAAGATGGTAGCATGATACTATAAACTAAAGATAATCCCACGCGCACGCGATCAATCTATCTGTTTTGCACGTGTGACGTCACTTGGCGACAAATATCACCAGAAATGTTCTGTTTTACATGGAGTTTAGTCAGATTTAGTATTGTTTTCTCGTTTATCTAATACACTGACAAATAAATGTGTGCATTTTTGATAAAATGTATTTCAGAATATTAAATTAAAAATAAACTTTTATCGCCAATTGACGTCATGCGCATCGACGTAAAAAATTCGATTGCGAAGTGGTTTTATCTTGGAAGTCATAGTACCATGAGTTGGTAAATAGTTATAGTATGTTCTCTTGAGTAGTCACCACTATGTTAAAATCTAATTTCCCAGTATATGTGATCAATCGATTCTTTTTAAAGACAATAACATTAAAATCGTGATAAAGATCAAAAATATTTACAGGATTTACTCAAAAGTCAACTAAATAACTTTGATAGAGAATGATTAAATATTAAGATTCATATCTTTGAAAAAATCACTGATTTATATTGAAAATAATGCCACTTTTCGCTTTCGCCATTTAAAATCAAATTATTTATAAAGTGTCTACTGTTGTCTTGTTGTTAAATGGTTTGTGAAAAGACCTCCTTATTTTATAAAAGATGGCTATCTAAAACAACGGTAATATAAACATCCAGTTTATTGGTATAAGATCGTTTAATATTAATGATTTGTTTCGCGATTAAGTCCAATATTTATGTCAAGATACTTATCACAAATTAATGAATTGTTGGTATATTATATTATTAAGATAATATTAATGCTTTTGGGGACTTTTTTCCAAAGCGCTTAAATACATAAAACCACATGATGTGAAAACCAACGAAAGGTAAATTTATTAAAAATGAAATAACTTAATATTATATATTAATCTATTCTTATATTTTTGAACAATGATGGTAAAAGTATACAAGGAGTAGGCTTGTTAATAAATACAAAGTTTAAAAAACATGTTTGAACTTTCAGTCAAGTTCCCGTCAGAGTATGCAAATTACGGCTAAATGAAAGGATAGGAACATAACCATTCTCAATAAGCATGCCCCGACGGAATAAAAAGATATGGAAGTAAAATACAAATGCTTTAAAGATTAAACCAATACGTCAAACCATCTCGTTCTATGAAACAAATTGTTATTTGTGGTTTAGACGCAAACATAAGAAAAATAACGTAAGTAATTGGGCAGTACTGATATGGCCTAACAATAATATTTTATACCGAGATCTGAGAAAAAATAAAGCATTAATCATGAATTTTACAAAAGTCAAATAATTCAATTTTCCCCTATATTCTAAGCAAATTTTGAGAACAATTCTAAGGTTTATTTTGGTCATTTTTTACTCTTTTGTGAAGGGGGTAAAACAACCCGTCAGATCGTGACGTATAAAAGGAAAGGACGTATATAACTCAAGAAGTGAATAATAAAGGGTAGAGGAAGTTAGGGCATGTGACATTCAAACTTCTTAACATATGGCACTTGACAGGATTTAACGAACAGAAATAAATGGTATAGAAAATTTCAACACCATGTCATAAAAGCATTAGATCCGTAACTTCACGCCTATTGGTCCGATCGTAACGCATGATAGGGTTAATAAAATAGGATATTTTTGACCTCTGACGTCATGCAGCCACCTCCAAGTGCATTCTTACAGGAGCTAAGTAACATTATTAGGGATGGACTTTAAGTAAAATTATCCCAAAAATATTTTGTGAAATCACCAAAGATGCTACAAGAAACGAGGTAAAAAAGTGGCTGATAAGAAATTATCAAAAGAAATTATGAACTAATAAAAAATAGCTCAGAAAAATTATATGAAAGCCTGGCCCAACTTTTCCAAAGTTACATTAGCGGTTCAAAAATCCAAAGTATGGCTATATAAAGGAAAATTAGTTTAGAAGATCAATCAGATCAATATATCTAAATGAGGCACTCTCACTGTGGAGAAGAAAGTGCTGCATTATGGGCATCCCAATCGAAGATGATGGATTGTACACGATACATTTCGCTGACGACCAAGATTCTAGCTGAAGACGAGAGTGATATAAGCTACATGCGTAGAAAACTGGAAGATGAGTACACCAAATGGGGCCTCACAATTAATATACAAAAAACTGAGTACTTAGTTGTAGGAGAAAAACCAGAAAGCCTACAAATCGAAATGGGAACTATAAAACCAACAGACAATTTTAAGTACTTGGGAGTCCAAATAACATCAACAGCAGGAAGTAGCGAAGAAATACATTCCAGGATTGGCCAAGCAAGATCAGCCACCAGACAGCTACACGGACTATTATGGAATAAAAAAATAACAAAAGAAAATAAAAGTAGAATTTATAAAACAATAATAGAAATTATTGGACTGTACGGCGCCGAACTCTGGGAAATAAACCAAAGAAACAAATCAAAAATTAAGGCCATGGAAATGAATCTAGACATAATTGACACAATCGAAGCCAAAAGACTTAACTAGTATGGACACCTTCATAAAATGCCAGAAAACAGATGGCCAAAAAAATAAAAGAATGTACTCTGCCAACTAGAAGAAAACGAGGTAGACCAAGACGTTCCTGGAGAGACGATGTCGACGATGCAATGACCGCCAGAGATCTAACAACTGAAGATTGCTTCGACAGAAAACGCTGGAAATTAGGATGCGAGAAGCGGCGCCAGCTGTAGAAGACTCGCTTGTTATATTATATATAGATCAATTAAAAAAATTATATAAAAATTATCAATTGCGAATAACAAGAAAAAGATTCAACCATAAAATGGATTTCTAAATATAAATTGTAGTTTACATATATAAAGGAGATACATGAAAAAAATCTCCCTTCTTTAAATATTTTGATTTAAAACTTAACATGACGAGTAAGATTACCAACATACTTAGAACTTTGTAGCTAATTGGAAGTAGAAGGAAGCTAGCATACAGAATATTAATATGGGTGGTATGCACAGAATAAATGAGAATAAACTCGAAATAAATAAAAAATTTAATAAAAGAATAACACAGGCCTACATTTTTTTTATGAAAAAGTGTTTTAAGTTTAATAGGTATTCTATAGTAAATGGGAGCTACTGATCACGAATCTGTACTTGGTTCTTTTTTTAGCACTTCGTGTTTTTAAGAAAAGTGTCTTTTATAGAAACTGCCAAAAATACTGAGAAAATATTTATTGAAACATTATTTAATACAAAATTACACTGCAATATTAAGTTGTTCTTAAAAGAATAATTCAGTATATCCTACGTTAGGTAATATTTGGCTTTTTTAAATAAAACCGTTATCTTTTTCCATGAAATCTGCGTTTTGTGGTTTTCTTTTTATGGATTTTTGTGACCGAGTCTCTATTTAAGGTCCAGCAGTTTTCAGTCATCATTCTTATATCTCATCTTCATTGGTAACTTCTCTCCATCTCCTTCATATCTTGATGGAACCTCTCTCCCTGCTCCTTGCTGACAGTTCCAAAATTTTTGGGAAAATAGTCAACGTGGGAATCCAGAAAATTAAGTTTGACGCTCATATTGCATCCCAGTGTTTTATAATTCTCGACAATGTTGGCTACAATTTCTTTACAGTGTGGAGACTTGTTGTTTGCAAGAAAACTGTCTATGACTTCTAGTAAAGAACTTTATGCTTCAAATTAATCCTGGTTCATTGTATTATGAAACAATCTGTCCGATTTTAGGTTCGAATTTAAGAGCCTGCAAAAATTTCTTCTTTAAGTTTATCGTTAGAAAGTGCAGAAAATTTGTCGCACATATAATAAAAGCAGACACCTTGTGTATCTAAAACTTTGGAAAACTGCTTTAATAATCCTAACTTTATTGGAAGATAAGGCAAAGAACTAGTTTTGGGTCAACTAGTGTATCACGTTGCACATTTTTTGCCCCGGTAAAAGTTTTTCTCCGAGTGGCCAGTCTAAGGTTCTTACACTTTGTTGATGTAATTTACGAAATATTAATGGTAATTATTTGCGCTAGTATATAATATTTCACAAGGTTTTTTCAATTTTGTGAAAAATTTTGACGTGATGGGCAGTGTTGCCATTCAATTCAAACTAACTAGTGTATTAAAATATTTTCTATCGATCTATAAAGTATTTTAATGAAATAATTTTAATGCAATTTACGAAATATCAATAACGTATTTGTTTGCGCTAGTACATAAAATCTCACAAGGTTTTTTTTGTGAAAAATGTGGAAGTAATGGTCTTAAACCGAAATCATATGCAGAATCAGTTTACCCGTATTAGCTAAGGACACATATCAAACTCAAAACACCAAAAATCATGTCGGCCTATTTAATGATTATACAGAATATTTGGTGAATAGAAAACTTAAGCGCAAACTGCTTTAGAACAAAGATAGAAAAACGAAACACAAAGTTAATACATAAATAAAATTGGAAAGAGAAATTGGAATAAAATATATAATTGAACAAAAATAACAAACATAAGACGTTTATAACGTTAGAAAGTATTTTTTGTGTGCTAAAATTGTATCTGCACCACATCTTAAATACCTTTTACCCATAGTTTAATCAAAGGTTGTTAAATCAATTTTGTTTTTACCTGCAATCTAATATTCCTATTTTTTCCATAATATTTACTTAACAAAGTTGATATTTTTGATCAACAGTGAGTCTTTGATTAGATAATAAATGTAAAAGATATTTTTTATTAGACTGTAAAGAACAATATTATAAATGTATATTTTTCATACTTGTATTGGGTAGAGTAATGTAGAAAACAATGTAAAGGAGGTCTAACTGGAATAGAATAAAATTTATAAAGTATAGTCTAATGAAATAAAAACGATTTATTACTAATTGCTTTTAATTTTAATTAATGTATAATAACGATAACAAAATACCATATACTATCCTCATATAAACTTAATTCACTAAGACTTTATTCAATAACTCTGGTAGTGTGGAGTTGTACAGTGCTTCGCGGAATTAAAAAAGGTATAAGAAAAACCAGTTAGAGGAACAAGAGAACATATTCTTAATATTCGATATAAGATACGTGCAAAAAACTGGAGGCATTTGAGATGTGGCTATATCGGAGAATTTTTAAGATCCCGTGCACTGACCGAGTCACAAATGAGGAGGTCCTTAAAAGAATGAATAAGAACCGAGAGGTACTGACCTCCATTAAATCTCGAAAGATACAATTCTTCGGACATATTATGCAAAATGAATCCAGATATGCTCTCTTTCAAGCCATCCTGCAAGGAAAAATATTTGGAAAACGAGGTCCAGGAAGAAAAAGAACATTTTGGTTAACCCTTTTTTGCCCAAATTAAGATTTTTCAAAAAAAAATACAATTTTTTTTACATGTATCGATATAATAAGATAGCTTAAGCATAATTAAATTTTTTTCTATTTTTTTGCCACAAAGACTCTTTTCAAAGAGATGGGACTTACAAGTCCCGTCAGGAATTAGAATAGGAGATTTTATCAGGAGATAACCATTAGCGATTTCTGTTGCTATAGAAAAAAAATGCTAAAAATAAAAGCTTTTATTATTTTCTATAAATGATTACTATTAGACAGAACTTACAACGAAGTAGGAAGGCTGTGGTACATCCCAAAACAGTTTTTATTTGAATTACAACACAAATAGGCACCACAAAATGAACACTTTGATTGAGGTCTAGACTCTAATGCAACTGAGCTGCAATATTCACATCTTCCCCTATTGGTGGTAAAAACAGGCCAGTGTTTCCCCAAATTTCCCAATCTGACGTCATCCAACACGCTGTATTTATAATTCCCCTTTTTGTTTGGTGTAGATGACTCAAAACTTCGGGAACCTCGCTTCTTTGCTTCAGTTGCGTATGTTATAAGTCCCACAGCAACCGATCTTCTTGCCTCCAGCTGGCTGGTTTTTTCGTATAATTCATTATATATAATATACGAATTCACAAAGGCAATGTCCAACATACCCCAGAATAGACGGTGCCACCATTTACGTGATTTTCTATCTACACAGTATGAACTACGTAGTTGATCGGCAAGGTCAACGCCGCCCATATTTTTATTGTAGTCTTCCACAACGCTAGGGCATGGTAAGTTTATACTCGAACCATCTCTTTGTTTTCTGGAAACATGTTTTACTTCTGATCCATGAAAGTTAGTTGCAATGTGAACTGCTCTGTTATCCATCCACACAAAATAACCGATGTTAGTATTAGAATACATATAATCGAAATCTCCGCGCTGTAACTGCTTTTCTTTTACATTTCGAGGCAAGTCCTTAGTACATCTTGGTTAATGATAGGACTACTCTTTCTCCTAAACCATAGTTCTCGAATTCGGTTTGCAATTTTTCGTTTTTGCCTTGATATAAGTCAAACTGTAAAATAAAACCATTTTGGTCTGCAATAGACCATAATTTGTAGCCCCTTTTGATGGGCTTTTTCGGATCATATTGTTTCAAGCTACTTCGCCCTTTTAAAACAATCATAGTTTCATCTACACTTAGTTTTCTTGTACCCTGATAACATTTAGTAAATTGTTTGTTTAGAGTATCTATCACTGGTTGAATTTTAAATGCTTTATCTTTATTGTCGTTGGAAATTTGATGGTTATCGTTGACATGTAGATTTGCTAATATCATCTCGAAACGATTCCTTGAGATGGTTTTCGAAAGAACAGGCACATGTAAGTCTTCTGAAGTATTCCAGTACATTTTCCACGAGGGCAGTTGATGGTACGCCATTAAAAAGTTCAGCCCTATAAAGGCCAGTAATTCACTCTCCTTTATATTCAGTATCTTGTTGTTCTGCACTGCATACAAATTACTTTGATAGGTAATCTCCTTCACAATATCTCCAAGTAGTCTAAGAAAAACATCTGTAGGCGTTGTGCAACCTGCGAACTCTGGACTCACTGCTCCTTCTTCTAAGTGGTAACTTTGAATAATTTCGATGACATCTTTCTTATGCCATTTCCGGTTAGCTTCAAGAAGTTCAACTTTTTCATTTAGTTCGTCCTCAACCATAGCTTCCCCTGTTCCTGATTCTTCAATCTCACTTACATCATTTTCAACTACTTTACTTTCTTCAGCTGTAGACGGACTAACATCTCTTATTTCATTATCGTCAAAATCGCTGTCTTCAAATTCACTAATGTCGACATCATCTGATAGGTCAAGAATTTGTATTGCCAGTTCCTCTAGTTCCTTTTCTGATAAAGGCTTTTTCATAAAATCCTTCCACTTACGTGACATTCTAAAAGAAAGTAATATAAAATAAAAACATGTTTTGAATCCTGACGCATCACAATGGCCAGATCGGCCACAGCCAAACTCACAAAAAATTTGGAAGAACACTGACATCACAAAAACCCCAAAATTACGCCTTGTTCGAGCATTGATATTTCCTATCGCCACCTGTGCTTCAGAAACTTGAACAATAAAAAAGCCGATTCAAAGCGTATAGTGGCATTTGAAATGTGGGTATTTACCGCAGATATTACCGCAAAATTCTTCGCATACCACGGACCGCCGATTGTACAAATAACTCATTTCTAGCACAACTTAATATAAAAACTTGACTCAGCACAACAATCAACCAAGATATTCTGAGATATTTTGGACATATAAATTGATTAAGAGAAGGCATGGATCTAATGATAGCTGAAGATATCAGAGCATGTAAAAGATCTAGAGGAAGATCTCCAATATGATGATCGGACCAAATAAAGGACATGACTGGTTATTCATTCCCCGAAGCAAAACAACACGCACAGGAGAGAGATAATTAGTCGCACCAAAAATAATCAAACAAATTACAAGACGCCACTACATCGCTACAAAGGAGAAAATATAGAGAAGGATAAGAAAAACCAACCACGAATCTGGTTAATCTAGAGAACCATCAGTAAAAAAGGAGAAATTTTGACATACTTTGACTTTTAACCTCGCGATGTCTCGTTGATATAGCGCTCGTGTCGAGACATTTAGACATTTAGTGGAACCTATAATATTGCTTGTGTTATAGATGTTTCTCATACAAGAGAACTGATGAGAGACGAAAATCTAAAGAAGAGTTATGCGAATCAAATTAATGAAAGAATGCGAGTAATAGAACAAAATGATGATATCGAAGAGATGGTCAATGATATTAAAGGAACGATTCTGGCAGTAAACAGGAAAGTTAAAACACAGATCAGAAAGAGAAAGCATAACGAATGGATGACGGACGAAATTATGGATCTAATGGAAAAGCAAAGGCAACATAAACAACAACGTAATCAAGACAAATACAAACAGATATACAAAGAAATCCGTCAGAAAATTAAGAAAGCAAAAGAACATTGGATGGTGGAAAGGTGCAACGAAATAGAACAATTGCAGGAAAAAGGAGATAGTTTTGGACTACATAAGAAGAGCAGGAAAAAGGAGATAGTTTTGGACTACATAAGAAGATCAAAGAAATATCGAATATACACAAAAGCCACCACAGAACAAGAATACGCAACGACAGAAACGAATACATAGAGTCAGAAGAGGAGATAGCAATGGCGTAAAAAGAATACGCAGAAAGCCTTTTTAATGACGAAAGAGCAACACAACCAACGCGCAAACTTCCTTCCGAAAACTTATCAGGGCCATCAATAATGCGAAGTGAAATAGAATATGCAGTTAGAACCACAAAGATGCATAAAGTAACAGGTCCAGATGAAATTAATATAGAAGCAATAAAACTACTAGACGAGGAGAATATGGAAATCTTGGTAAGGCTGTTCAATAGAATTTATGATACTGGTTACATTCCGCGAGAATGGCTGCAGTCATCCTTTGTGATGATCCCAAAAACAGCTAATGCCACAAAATGCAATGAACACCGCTTAATCAGTTTAATGAGTCACTTGTTGAAACTCTTTCTTAGGATATTACACTCAAGAATGTACAAGATACTAGAAGAACTTAGCGGGTCAACACAATTCGGTTTTAAGGGAGGACTAGGAACAAGAGAGGCAATTTTATGTTTAAACACCTTAATACAAAACTGCTTAGATCAACGAAAAGATGTCTATCTCACCTTCATCGACTACGAGAAGGCATTTGACAATGTTAAACATGATATCATGATGGAACTACTACATAGGGCCAACATTGACCAGAAGGAGATCAGAATTATTCAGAATCTATACTGGAACCAAATGGCAAAGGTGAGGATTGATCAAGACCAATATACGGATGAATTTGAAATCCGGAAAAGTGTCCGCCAAGGCTGCATACTCTCTCCGATGCTTTTTAATTTATATGTTGAAAATATATTTGCGGAAGCATTAGAAGATACGGAATTAGGCATTAAGGTGAACAGCATACCAATTAGCAACCTATGCTATGCGGACGACACAGTGATTATAACTGATAATTTGAAAGATCAGCAGTTATTACTTGATAGAGTGAATAGCATAGGTAAAAAATATGGCCTCAAAATCAACATTTTGAAAACGAAATATATGGTCATTAGCAGAAACCCTCCAGAAACCCCGATAATATGCATAGGTGACAATCGTATAAAATGCGTGAAAACTTTTAAATACCTTGGCACCACAATTAATGACCAATCGGATCCACAACATGAGATAAAAACCCGAATACAAATGGCAAGACAAGCTTTTGTGAAATTCAGACCGCTCCTGTGTAATCAACGCCTTAACTTCGAAATACGCTACATACGAATGGTCAAGTGCTACATATGGTCCATCTTGCTTTATGGCATGGAAACGTGGACTTTGAAAAAAACATCTATCAACAAACTTGAAGCATTTGAAATGTGGTCATTGAAAAGAATAATGCGCATACCTTGGGTGGATAGAGTTCGAAACGATGACGTCCTTAATAGAGCCGGCGTGGAAAGAGAACTCTTTGAATTAATTAAAAAACGCAAGATTGGTTACCTTGGGCATATATTGAGAGGAGCAAAATATGAAATACCACAGTTAATCCTACAAGGGAAGATCGAAGGTAGGAGAGGAGCTGGCCGCAAACAATTATCCTGGTTAAGGAATATTAAAGAATGGTCAGGAATACACAATACAGGTGAGCTGTGTCACGCCGCCAAGAACAGAATTCTAGTAATGAGATAGTCGCCTACGCACTTTGGTGTATGGCATGTTAAGAAGAAGAAGTTATATTATTTTTACTTACTAAAGTGTAAGAATTAAAAATGGATCATCAGAAGAATATCTCATGTTATTGATATTGTTTCGATAAATTTGAACAACCAATTATTTAAAATATTATTCTCTATACTAAAACCACCAAAACGAGGCAGATCTTCAACAAACATGTAAAGTTCATAAATTAATAAAAAGAACCCAGAACAGGAAGGAAATTTTAAAATATCTTATGTGCAAATAAAATAACATAGAAGATTTTTATACGCAATAACTTTTACATAAGTTTTATTTATATTCTATACAGATTTTTAAAACTAAAGGAACATGTTCAAAAAATATTCAACTGAAGTAGTTCGAACATATTTTCCGCAAATTCTTTAGTACTGCTTTATATGGTAACATTTTGCCATACAATATCCTCAATCCACTTGATATAATTATACACTTTGGCATATATGTTTATGCCACTTTCACCATTTTCACAATCTGTATCGTCCAATTTGACTCCTACGATGTCGTGCATGCATTTAACGTCTTTGTATATTGGATGAAACTGCAGAAGAGGTCCACCAACATCCACCTAAAACGTAGTTATATTATAAAGTGCTTTAGTTAAAAATAAGTAATATTAATTAAATAATTAGTATTTAATAAAAAACAGCAACAGGAGTAATACCCGAAGATTGGTTGCTGTCTACGTTTGTAACACTACCAAAGTCAGTACATGCAATATAATGCTCCCAGTACAAAACAATTTCCTTAGATATAGATAGAATATATAGATATAGATAGAAGATATAGATGACACCCAGTTTGGATTCAGATTAGGACTAGGAACGAGAGAGGCTCGCTTTTAACGTTCTCGCGCAACGACGATTAGATATTTTCGATCATCGATATAATCGACTTTTGGTTGCATCTTGTATATAGTATGTATCTACAGTGCCGTGTTGTTAGGGATCTTTTTATATTCTTTAGTCGGAATCTGCATTTTTGTCAGCACTTACGTGAATATGATTACTCCAGCAATTATTCTCATGGTTTTATATAACTGGATATCATTATTTTAAATGTGAGCACTGCTAATCCATATTGGAATTCAAGATTATGATACAAAGTAAATAAGAGCTAAGTCTGACGACCTGAGCATAGACACCAATACTAAATGTCTATGTTGTACCGCAGAGCTTCTGAATGATGTAATTTGTGGTTTGCAGCTTCCTGGCAACTGTACTTAAACGCTTTTTAAAGATTAATGTTTTGTCTAAAGTCAAGACTATTAATTATAATAAACAACTATAATAAATAGTTAGTTAATAGTTTATAGAATTGCAGAAAAAGAATGACATGTTTAATATGTACAAAAAGGTAACAGAAATCACTGGAACATATAGATCAACTGCAACTAGTTTACTTGATAAACAAGGAAATATTATAGTCAATGAACAAGACAGATTAGAGAGATGGAAAGAATATATTAAGGATCTGTTTGATGACGATAGAACAGAAATTCAAATCAAAAATATATCTACTGGTCAAAACATAACACTCGATGAAATGGAAAGAGCTATAAAGCTATCAAAGAATAGGAAAGCAACCGGTCCAGATGAAATTCAAAGCGAAATAATCAAACTGCTCGACGATAAGGGCAAGCATTCTCTTCTAAGCCTCTCTAATAAAATATACGAAACAGGACATATACCAACAGACTGGCTACTGTCAGTATTTATAATAATACCTAAAACAATAAATGCCAAACAGTGTAGCGATCATCGCACTATCAGTCTGATGAGTCATGTACTAAAAATTTTATTAAGAATACTGCACTCGAGAATTTACAATAAAATAGAAGTACAACTAAGTGAAACACAATTTGGTTTCAGAAACAACCTTGGAACAAGAGAAGCACTCTTCAGTTTGCAGGTCATGGTTCAAAGATGTAGGGATATAGAAGCACCAGTATATATGTGTTTTATCGACTTCGAAAAGGCCTTTGACAGAGTAAACCATGACAAACTTATAGGTGTCTTGCAACAGGTGGGAATTGATGACCGAGACCTCCGTATTATCAGAAATTTGTATTGGCATCAATGTGCAAACATACGAGCTGGACACAATACGACGAAAGCAGTGGAAATACGACGTGGAGTGAGGCAAGGATGTGTTCTATCGCCTCTACTTTTTAATATCTACTCCGAATTTATTTTCAAAGAAGCCTAAGTTGAAGATACAGGCATTAAAATCAACGGAATTAATGACAACAATCTCAGACATGCAGACGACACGGTACTTATTGCCTCCAATGAAGAAGACCTGCAACGACTTATAAACAGCGTAACCGAAGCATGTGATGAATATGGGCTAAAACTTAATACTTCTAAGACAAAATTTATTGTTGTCAGCAAAACGGAGTTACAACCAACATCAGAGCATATGGAATAGAGTTAGAAAAAGTTCACAATATTACCTACTAAGAAAATTCTAATTAATAGAGATATTACGTTAAACCTTAAAATCAGATTAATACGCTGCTACATATTTTCCACATTGCTGTATGGTATGGAGAGCTGGACCCTTACAGAGACATTAATGAAAAAATTAGAGGCCTTTGAGATGTGGATTTATTGACGAGTATTGCGAATGAGTTGGGTTGATCAAATAAGAAATGAAATAGTTTTACATCGAATGACAAAGAGCACAGAAATAACAAAAACGATAAAGAATAGAAAGTTGCAATATTTCGGTCATGTAATGAGACATCCAAAGAGGTATAACCTTCTACACCTCATAATACAGGGTAAGATCGCCGGAAGTAGAGGCCCAGGCCGACGAAGAATATTCTGGCTCCGAAATCTCCGAGAATGGTATCAAGAAACCACCGCTAATTTATTTAGAGCCGCCGTCAATAAAGTTATTATTGCCAATATGATCGCCAACTTTCGATAATCGGACAGGGTACTGAAAGAAGAAGATTATAGTTTAGCCGTGTAGCCAAGTGTTCTTGACACCAAAGGGTGGAAGCAGGTTACTTCGGATTTGGGGTCATCGGATCAAAGTCTCCATTGTTGAAAGTTACTTTTCTTCTTCTGAGGATTCTACTTGTGTTAATTAAGATAAGTCATCGTCATAAACAAGTTTTGTTATTGTTGTTGTTGGCATGATACAATGTAAAGGCTAAAAAGCCGTGATACAACTACTGGTAGAAAACTTTTTCTGGCAAAGTTTTCTAGGATCGGTAATTTCTGATCCCATAATTACTTATGTCGGTGAGCAAATTGTCTATTAATCTAGTGGTAGATTTACTAGCTGCGGCAAATGTGTGAAAGCAGCAGAACTCTTTTGTTATCTTTAAAAGTTTTCTTCTATGGAAGTGTTTTTCTTCTTTGGATTGTTTTATTATGACTTCAGCTTTTTTATCTTTCACAGCACTCTAGTTGTCCAGTCTTCTTCTATGAGGTCTCTATCTATCCCAGTTCAACATTCTTGTTAGCCAACTGTATATATAATAGCACTACGAGCCTAGTAGGCCCATGGCTTGAGCTGTTATTGTTTTCCATTTCTTCCTATTATTAGCCTTGTCCTTCCATCTTTCTATTCCCAGTGTTTCTAGGTCTTTCTCTACTTCTTGCTTCCATCTACTTCTCGGCCTTCCTCTTCTTTTTTTTGTACCCATTGTATGCATCAGAATCATTTTTGGTACTCGAGAATTTGTCATTCTTTCTATGTGCCCTAGCCACCTGAGTCTCTGAGCCTTTACTACTCCCACTATACTAGGATTCTTGTACATATCTTCTAATTCTTTATTTGTTCTTCTTTTCCATGTATTGTCTACTATCTTGCCTCCAAATATCTTTCTCAAAACCTTTCTTTCCCATATTTCGAGCATACCTGTTTCGCCTTTGTTCAGTGTCCACACTTCACTGGCGTAGGTTACCACTGGTTGTATAACTGTTTTGTAAATCCTTATTTTGGCATTCCTAGATATCTGTTTACTTTTTAATAGCCTGTTTAAGGTGTACACGCATCGGTTTCCTGCCATTATTCTTGATTGGAGCTCCTCTCTAATATTTGGTTTGCATGTGAACATCGACCCCAGGTATGTAAATCTTTCCACTGCTTCAAATATATATGCTTTTTCACCCTCTACTTCTATTTTTAGATTTCCTCCTTTTTGTTCACTGTCATCTATCCATTCCATGTATTTTGTCTTACTTTCGTTGATGGCTAAGCCTATTTTCTTTGCCTCTCTATCTAGCCTCTTTACTACTTCTTGTAGCTCCCATTTGCTTCGAGCCAGTATTACTACATCGTCTGCAAAGGCTAGACATTGGTGCTTTCTTTGGTATAACAATCCCTCTCTGTTGACATTTGCATCTCGTATGACCTTCTCCAAACACAAGCTGAATAGTATCGATGATAGGGGATCTCCTTGCCTTACTCCTTCACTGACTTCAAATTTTTCCGACATTATATTATTTATTTTAACTCTGCTCTCAGTCTTGGACAACGTTATTTGTATCATTCTTATAAGTTTTCTACTGATACCCAATTCTTCTAGTGCTTTGCTCATTTGGTTCCGTTTTATTCTATCGTACGCTTGTTTGAAATCAATGAAGAGGACCCTTGTCGGCAGATTGTGTTGATAACTTTCCGCTTGCAATTCTCTGAGCGTAAATATCTGATCTGTTGTACTTCTACCAGGTCTGAAGCCACATTGGTACTCGCCGACAATGTTTTCTATCACTCCTGCCAATTTGTCCTTTATACACGCTGCAAGAATTTTGTATGCAGTATTCAATAGTGATATCCCTCTGTAATTTTGACAATCTGTCCTATCGCCTTTCTTATAAAGTGGGCATATAATTGCATCTGTCCATTCTTGTGGTAGTTGTTCTTTAATCCAAATCTCCTTTATTAATTTGAACATTTGCTCCTCTAGCGTTTTCCCTCCATATTTGAACATCTCTGCAGTTATATTATCACTTCCTGGACTCTTGTTATTTTTTAATTTCTTTATTATTTCCTTTATCTCGTTTCTGGTAGGGGGTGTTTCTTCTGTCTCATTTATTTGGTTCCTATGTTTCTCCGTTCTTATAGGCTGTTGCTGTTCTATCCTGTTTTCGTCATTTAGCAATTCATCAAAGTATTCTTTCCATCTAGCGGCTATTTCATTTTCTCCACTAATGGCGTTTCCCTCTTTATCTTTGTAAAATATTGTTTTTTGTTGGTATCCTCTTTTTTCATTTTTTACTCCCTGGTATAAATTTCTAATTTCTCGATTTTTGTAATTTTCTTCTATTTCTTTCAGCTGATTTTCCATGTACTTTCTCTTTTTCATTCTCAAAACTTTTTTTACGATTTTTCTTTGTTTTTCATATCTGTTTCTTGTTTCTTCCGTATCACTTTTGATCATATCCATCCTTAGTTTACTTCTTTCTTCAATTTCCTTCTGGCATTCTTCGTCAAACCAATCCTTTTTCTTTTTAGTTATATTTTTATTGCATTCTTTAGCTGTGTTACTGATAATCTGCTGAATTTTGTCCCAGTCCTTGTCTATGTGCCCTTCTAGGTGTATTTCATTTAATTTTCTATCGATACCTTTTCTATACATTTCTTGTTCTTCTTGCGTTACAAGCCGCACTGGTTTATTTGTGTTCTTATTTTTTCTTTTGCGATTTTTTTCTTCCGGTATCAGTTGAGCCATTTTAATTCCTAACATGAAGTGATCCGAGTCAGCGTCTGGTCCTCTGTATGTTCGCACGTTCTTTATACATTTTCGGTCTTCTCTCTCTATTAGTACATGGTCAATTTGATTTAATGTTTTTCCATCTGGGGATCGCCATGTTGCTTTGTAGATGCTTTTTCTCTCGAAATATGTACTCATTATTAGCATATTTTTTTCTTTGGCAAAATCTATCAAAAACTGCCCGTTCTCATTAGTTTCCTCGTGTTTGCTAAATTTTCCTATAGTTGTTCTATATATTTCTTCTTTTCCTATCTTTGCATTTGCGTCCCCCAGTACTACTTTAATGTCATATCTTGGAATACTTTCAAATACCCTATTAACTTCACAGTAGAAATCCTCTTTTACTTCAATATCTTTTTCTTCTGACGGTGAGTAAATGTTAATGAATGTGATTTTTTGATATTTTCCTCTTATTCTTAGACAACATAGACGATCAGATATTGGTTTAAACTCTACAATTGATGCTTTTAACGCTTTATTTACCAAAAATCCTGTGCCTAATATTCTGTTTCTGCCTCCACTATTAAAAAATAAGCTATTTTCAATTTCCAGCATTTCCTGACCCAGTTGCTTTGTTTCTTGTAGTGCCACTACGTCAAATTTAAACTTTTCAATTTCTTTAGTTAAGTGTTTCAGTTTTCCTTCCTCAAAAGTACCCCTTACGTTCCACGTTCCTACCATTAAGTGATCTTTTGGATATGTGTTTCTATTGCCTTTTTTTGTAGTTTTTATTTTTAAATCACCCTTTCCTATGACAATGTTACCGGTATTCATGTCCTTGTTCCTTGCGTTGTTCGTCTTCGTATTTTTACTATCATAGCCGTTTTCTAGTTTTTTGAGTTTGTTATTTCCATTTTATCTTCCTTGCTATTCCACTTCCATTCAACACCATTTATCATCATTTTCCTTGCTCCTATTTTGACTTCGTTTCCTTTGTTTCTTTCCTCTTGTGCAATTTTTCTTATTATTTTTTGAATTTCTCTCTCTCTCACCGTTGTGTCATCGTTGATGTATACCTTTTCCTTTTTGACGTCCTTTAACTTTGCTTTATTCTTCATAACTTTTATCTTTTCTTGTTGGTTCTCCATTTCAATTAGGCACGTTTTTGGACCTAGTTTGTGGGCCGTCTTTATTTTGGCCTCTACTGCAAGGTGATCTTTTATAAAATTGCCAATTGCTTCCTTCAATACCAGCTGATCCTGCGTATTAATTGCTAGCCCGTTCATTACCACATTATTTCGCCTTCTCTCTTTTTCTATAATTTCTATGTTGTCTCGTATTTCCCTTAATTCTTTTTTAATCTGTATGTTTTCCTCTTTTAGAATTTTATTATCATTCTTTAGTTCCTTGTTTTCCCTTATTAGATGTTCAACTACCTCCTTGTATTCCTTTTGGTCTTCTTTTATTTGTCTAATGTCGCTGGTTAGGTTGCTCATCATTTCTAGCAATTTATCAAGTTTTGCTCCATCCTCTTTTCCTCCTGTCTTCTGAGGGGTTCTTGTTAGTTTTTTATTTTTTCTGGATCTCTCTTCCTCTTGCTCATCATCCTCTCCTCTATTCTTTCTTTTTGCTCCTTCATCTGTTGTTGTATCGTCACTGTCCATATACGTTTTACCTTGTAGATATTTTTCCATCCTTGTATGCTTTTCCTTTTTTTTTGGTCACTTCGCGGATTACTTTCAACTCTGATTGGCGCCAGACACTATCTCTCGCTTCAACAGCTCGGAAGAAACAGTATCTACCACTTCCTGTTGAATCCCCTATTCGAAGTCTCGACTAATTTTGTATTCCGTGGCAAACACGAAACTTTGCACACATTGGCAACGTCGCAATTCACTTCAACGTAGCTTCCTTCCCAGTGTTAGTTCTTATCAGTTAACCTCGCTTTTTTACCTTATCCGATTATTCACTTTATTATTGTTTTTTACAGTTTTCGTTGTTTATTTTTGCACAGTTGTTACCTTATTCAGTTATCTCAATTCTCACTACAACGTATTGAATTATTTCCCGTTGCAACTCTCGAATTTCGGGTTTATCGCAGACAGAAAATAAAACAAAAATCTTCAACTCCGCGCCACGTTGCCGAGTCAACTGTATTGCGACATTATAGCCAACTGTATTGTGACATTATTTATACATACCCGTTCCACTACACGGCTCTGTTTTCTAATTTTTTTGTTAATTGAATATTGAGTATAAGCACACCAACTATGGAAGCACAAAGAGATAAAACCTGATCGGTGAAATCTTAATTTGGTTTAAAACCTGCTTGTTCCATTAAAATGGCTTTAATGATTGTATTCTTAGAAACTAGTCTTTTAAGTACGTAGTTTATGTATTATACACATCAGAGTAATTGCTCGATAGTTTTTAGGTGGTTAGCTGGATCGACCGGTTTTAGTAGTGCTATAACTTTTCAATGTTTAAATTCCCATGGGATTCTGTCGATTTAAATACCACGAGAAGATAATATAGAGAAACAAAAGAAATAAAAGCAGAATTTTGTATTACAAATATGCATAAAAAATAAGAGAATTGGGTAAAAAATGTTAATTAAAATACGTAAATGATGAACACAGTATTACTAACATATTATTAACCCAACAATAGGATTGAAGGATTACCTTAGAAAACTGGTTTAAGATGGAAGAAATCATATGCATGAGATACAACATAAAAGACTGGAGAGACACAGCAGATCATTAAACATTGTAAAGATGCGACAACTAAACTGACTGGACCACGCGATGAGGAGGCCAAAATTTGAAACACGGAGACTTATGGTGCAGAGAAAAAAGTAACAGGTTTACATTATAGTTCCAAATGAAAACCTTTTGTTAGTTATTATATATATTTGATACCAGAAGACATATACATTTAATAGTTTAATAATAACCAATATAATAAAAAACTACTTACAGTGCAAATATTTCCATAATGGCCATTACTATCTGCCTTAGTACAGATCGAATTATTCTCGGTAATATCACGAAGATTAGAATTCGCAATATCGTTATCGTTGCATTTATCTTCCGGTAGAGGTTGCACGTATACTCTATTTAACTGTTGATTTTCTTCCCCACCATATTCTTTAAGCTTCCAACCAGCCGATATGAGTTTACCATGAGGAATGTCATTGTTAGTGTAGAGACAAGCTGGTCGTATAAAACGATTTAAGTCAAAATCTTTTTTGACTTTTATCAACAATAAACTTTGATTTTTGGAAAAAGACAAATTGGAGGGTAAAACTGTTTCAGCGATTTCCCTTATTTGGAGAAAATACTCATTTTGTGTTCTCTGCACCGCACGAAAATCCCCTGCTCTCACGAATTTTGCATCTCCGCTAAAAATGATAAAATTTTAAATTTAATTATTTCGATAATGATTGTCCTACGACGGGATTGATTTTGTTTCGATTCAGATTGATGGAATATGCCGATCTGATGATACATAAAGAAGTTGAAATACGTATAAGCGGCTTGCTGCATCGAAATAAAACTCTAATACCGTCAATGTTTTAAAATTAATTATTTATCAAATAACTATTGAAACGAGTTACAAAACAGATAAGATATATACAGTTTATTAATTATATTTTTAATTCGAAATTTTGTAAAACACCAAGTAGAGTAATTTATTTCTCTCTTGAATATTTCTCACGCTATTATTCTATGAGCGCCTTGCAAAGTTTTTCAAAAATAAAAAAAAATGTTAATTTAAATTTAAAGGACCACCTTTCATATTTCTATTTAAAATTGCCGCAAAAAGTGTACCGTACAAAAAAATCAAGCGATTCTAATAATCCCGGTCTAAAACTGTTATTTCTTATACAGTGTGGTCCTTAAGTAATTGTACAAAAAAAACCGCAGATTCTACACTTTTAAATATTACCATATAAGCCAACTTGCTTTAAATGTTGATATTAAAAAAGATACAGGGTGTTAAAGTGGAAATTTAAAATTTTATTTTTCGCTATTACTTTCATGTTTGTCAATATTTATGTATAAAAATTTATAATTGGGTACTACTAAATTTCAGAAATTATAATTTGATGTATACTTTGATGTAGCTGATAGAGGGCGCCATATATGCCACATATGTGGCATACATTTGCACTTAACTTTTTTGCTCTTTAAGTTACCGGTATTTTTAATAAAATATTAAAGATACATTATTTCAACAAAAAAAAGTATGCTTGTTAATATCTTTAAAACTCAACAGTTTTCGAGATAATCGCATTTTAGAACGATTTCTCCTGTTTTTCTTCTCCATTCTCTCTCCTGTTGCTGACAAAGAATGTAGACGGTAGAACCATTTTAATTAAAATTCCACGAGGAAACTAAGTTCCTGTAAACTGTTCCTTTTAAACAAAATTTTTTTTTTCATTTTAATTAAGTTTAAACTGTTTGTCCTTTTTTAGTGTAGGGTTTTGTACAATTTTATGTTAAAATTCATGATTGTCACATTCTACGCTTGCTGGATAGCCCAAATTTGATGAAATGCCCCTGAAGATGCTGTAGTAAGCGAAAGTACTTGGGCAAGATTTAGTTGTTAAAATTGTGCCCGATATTTGCCTTTCATTTTTAAAAGTTTATTTATTCAAGCATTCAACCTTATATCAATAGTATAGTATAGTGTCTATTGCTATATTATTTTCATTCTCAGGTGTTCTTTTGATGGTCATTTACTTAGTTTTTTTCCGTTTATTTTAAGCCCTCTTTTTATGCTTCAGGATTAATTTCCTTAAACGTTTCCATTTGTCGTGTCTTGCTTTTACTAATAATGATGACATCATCTACATATACAGTAATTTGTACTGTTTTGGTGTTTATATAGCCGGTTACATTGGTTTTCCTGATGACTGCTTCAAGAACTAGGTTAAACAGCATGGTTGAAAGTGCGCCTCACCCCCATGTTAATGTCAAACAGGGAAGACAGTTCTTCATCTACTTTAACTGCGGATTTTGAACCCTGCAACGTCATTTTTATGAGACTGATATGTTTCTTTGGTATACCTAGATTTTGGAGGTCTTCCAGAATTTTATCTCTTTTCACACTCTCAAAAGCTTGTTTAAAGTCTATATAAATATTATATAGTTCTATAACTTATTCATAGTCTTTCTTATGTATTGTTATAGGTATGAATATATTATCTGTAGTGGATCTATTTGGTCCGAATCCATTTTGATAATCACCAGTTATATTTTCAGAGTATTCTAAAAATCTAGTATAGATAATGCCAGAAAGGATTTTGTATATTACATTTAGCAATGTAATTGGTCTGTAATTCTGGCATTACCGCTTATCTTCTTTTTTCATTTAAATAATGGAATAATAAGTATAAATAATGATAATAAATACTAAATTATTTTCAATAAACTCCGTCCATTCCTGGCGCTTTACTGTTTTTTAGTTTCTTTATTACTTGAACTACTTCTTCATAACTCGGATTTTCAATGTGCTGCTTCGCCGTAAAATATATTGTCCCGTTTTGATCATTTCCATTGTCTGCTTTTAGATTTTCCTTAAAGTATTTGTTAAAGACAGTTTTATTTTTATTTAAAGACAGACGTTGCAACCGCGCAACGCGAAGTTTGTACGTCCGCATAATTCTTAACAGTCGTTGAGCTTGAGAAATAATATTGTAAATCCGAAAGTCATACAATAAAGACATGGTATATCCTAGTTGTCAATTCAATTCCATTCTACGAAAGTCGATGGTAAAATCCCATAGCGGGAAGTAAATCAACAGTATTTTTTTTATTTCATTATAATTTTTTTTTCTCTATTAGTAGTTCTTTGTCCTTGTCTTTGCATGTTGTCAATTTTGGTCTAAATGACTGCGTGCTTTCTTTTATATTTTTATAGAATTTTTGACCTCGTGTCTGTGGTTAGGTACTAGGATTTCTTGTACATGTTTTTTCAAAGTCTATTTTTTTTTAACATATTCTAGTCGCTTGTATTCTCTAGATTGCCTTTTTTCCATTACTGCAGTTTTGCATTTATCATCATACCATTCCGCATTTCTTTACCCTTTGGCTTTTTCGACAGTTTTCTCTGCAGATTTCGTTATTATTGTCATATTTTAATTGTCATCATTCTTCCTCTGCTGTTTCTTCCTCTCTGATTCCGTTGAGTTTTATTTGGGGAGTATTTTGATATTCTTGTGTCTTTGTTTTACTTTTGAATCCCTTAACATTCCATTTTTTAATTTGACTATTTTTCCTTCTGCCACTATCGCGATTTTTTGCCGCAATTAAGCCCCCACAAGATAGTGATCTGAGTCAGAATCCGCCTCGCGATCCGTTGTGATATTAGTTATGTCTGTTGCCCATCTTTTTAAGATCAGGATGTAGTCAAGTTATGTAGTAATTAACAAAGTTAACATCATTTACAGGTTTTTTGCACATATATTTAGTGACTTTACGCATGTGTACCTGGTAATTGTACTGATGTTAGAGTTATTAGTCCGAAAATGTTTTGTAATGTAACCTGAAAGGGCATTTATCAAAAATGTTTATTCAGCAGAACTCAAAAATCAATTGTTCCTGATGTATAGAGCTTCCAAGTGTCGGTTTTTAGTCCATTTTTTTAAATTCATGAATTAGGAAAAGTACTATAATACAGATTTAATATACGGCATCTGAATCTTAATAAACACAATATAGGATCTGAATCACTTTTGTTAGTCAAATTAGTTGGCCAAAAATTAGGACATGTCATTTAGATATTATTTTAGTGTAGTGACTAAAATCGGTTATCCTAGGAATAATATAAAAAATTGTGGGTAAGTCTAAAACTTAATTTCTATAACCATCTTTAAAAAGGATTCACAATTTATTATTTGTTAAGCTATTACTTACTTTAAAACGCTTAAGTTATATTATTCTGAAATACTTACTGTACTGGATTTCTTATACATTTTGTTGCAGTTAGAATATAATTTTCACTGATAAGAGAACCAGCACACCCCCATTTTATATTAGAAGATAAGCCATATCCAATTTGTACCTTAAAATTTTTAAAACAATTATTTGTGATGGGTAGATTTATAAGACACCAGACTAAGTACAAAGCAAATTCATTTGAAAAAAAGTGGTACAGTACAACGAAGAGAGTGGTATAGTAGACTAGCAAGAAACTTTATACTATCAGTGCTGTTCAATCACAATAGCTTGTAAATAATTGATGGATTCGACCGTTACTTGATGGAAATTCATTTTATGTAACAATAAAACACTGAAAACTTTGTTTTCAAACTTCCACAAAATTTATTTTAAATCTTATCACTACAGCTGTTTCGGCTGATTGCCTTTCTCGAGTGATCTATTTTGGGCTTGAGTTTACAAATTTATAGTCTCTAATGAAAGAGGAGTTCTCCCCTCCTCAACCTATTTCATTAGAGATTATAAATTTGTAAATCCAAGCCAAAAATAGATCACTTGAAAAAGGCAATCAGCCGAAACAGCTGTAGTGATAAGATTTAAAATAAATTTTGTGGAAGTTTGAAAACAAAGTTTTCAGCGTTTTGATTGTTACAATAGCTTGCGTTCAATCACAAATTAATCCCTTAATTTGTAATTTCACATTATTCTTAACTATTTAACCTTTTATAATTTCACCGTGTATAATTAAAACATTGTGAAACATATCGAGTAATATTTTAATAATTAGAGTCCGTTTAACCTGCAAACTTGTAAACTTAATAAATTGCCAAAGAATATATGAGGCGTTGAGCGCAAAAGTGGCCCAACCCACAAAATGTTTAAAATTGAGTTATATGCAGAAATGGCCTGTTAGTACAACAAATTTTATAATGAAAATGCGAACCAACCCTAATCATGCTACCCGTCGAGAGATGGCAGTGCAAACTACTTTTGCACTCTCCATATTGCAAGTCATTTTAAATGCAAAAACGGCCCAAACCTCATAGGCCGTTTTTGCATTAGCAGATTTGCAGTTTTGACATAAAGCTGATTGGGTACAGTCCGAATTTAAAAGTGTTAATTGTTGTGTTTATTACAATATTATGGGTGATACAATTAGGCAATACGACGAAACAAGTTCAGGTGAGTATCTACAAACATTTTTTTAATATTGTGAAATGTAGAATCAGCGCAAACGGTTGTTTAAATAATTTTAAGGTTAGGTTTTCGAAGAATAATTACTAATTAAATTAATATAGAAACTGCTTTTTGTATAAATAAATATAATAATCGTGATATATGTGAAAATGAATATCTAAACATTTTCCTAATAACATTTACACATTTGTTTTGGCTAATTGAATTAGTTCCAGTGCCATAACACAGTATCATTTACATACACATGTTGTGTATTCGGTTAATATTCAATCAAAAAGAATAGTAATCGTCTTTTAAAGTTATTACCTATGAGTATTACAAACATAACTAATGAAATGTTTATTCTTTAGATAGTGAACCTTTTCCGGTGTCAGAATCCGAGTATGAACCAAGTGAATATAGTATAGAGTCCAGGGAATCCCCTACTGACAGAGGTATGTACAACAACAATAATACTTTTGGCGTACTATTTATAAATATTTTACAGGGCGGATTAATAAGTACTTCTTGTCAATAATGGCTGAGCAATTCTTTTTCTTCAAATGCAAATCCACTAATGGATGTTAGCGATCATATTTTTCATTACCTCTTTGTTTCTTGCAATATGTATCAGATATTTTTTATGTCGTTAATCCCTGTCTATTGCCTTATGTTTCGGAGCGAGGACATTTTCTTGCATCCCATTCCACTCTTGCTTTCAATTTTTCCCTCGATTTTAAGTTGGAGGAACTGGTATTTTTCATTTCGCATGATGTGACCTAGATGCGCCGTTCTCCTTTTCTTGATGGTTTCCAAAAATTTGGCGTTCTCGGTTGATTCAGCAATTGAAAATATAAAAAGTGATAAAATTATTCTGCATAGAAAAAAAAAACATATTTTTTTATTTCAGGAGAGGATGTGGCTTCTACTTCAAATTACGTACCATCGTTATTAGAAGAGGAAAATGGTATGCCAAAATCAAAAGGAAAGAAAAGGATCCGGAATGAATTACAATGGAAGAGAAATATTAGAAAAAGGAACAAGACTGCGGGCCAAGAATACATCAGTGTAAAGGGAAATATTGTGCCTGCGAAAACTTTTGTGGCTAAAGACTGTATGTGCTTAAAAAAATGCCATGCGAAGTTTTCGCAAGAGCGGCGTGAAGCACTATTTAAAAACTTTTATGCATTAGAGTCACACGATTTGCAAACTGCATTTATATATGGACAAATACGCGTTCAGGTCAAAGAACGATCATACAGCACGCAGAATATTAAAAAAAAAGAAAATGCAAGATACTATTTTTTATCGGATGAGCGTGGAAAAGAATGCCAGGTCTGCAAAGAGTTTTTTAAACTATCATTAGGGGTTTCTGATGGTCGAATAACAAGGGCTCTCGCAACAAAGAAAACAACTGGAACACCTCGAACTGATGGTCGCGGTAAAACATCATCAGCGAATAAGACTTCTGAAGTAAAAAATGAGGGAGTTAAAAATTTTATAAATAAATTTCCTGTTTACGACTCTCACTATACGAGAGAAAAATACCCAGCACGTAAATACCTATCTCCTGATCTAGACATAACAAAATTATTCAATTTATACAAGGCTGAGGTACCAAATAATAACGTTTCAATGTTTTTATTCCGTCGCATTTTCAATCAAGACTTCAATTTGAGCTTTCATCCTCCAATTTCAGACAGTTGTCGCAAATGTGATGCATTTAACGTTAAAATTAAAGCCGCTATAGCAAATAACAAAGAGTGTCACATTATTCAAGCAGAGCAAGAACTACATCAAAGAAAGGCAGAAGCTGCACGACAAGGTATGAATCAGGACGCAGCAGCAGCTGTTCTCGACAACGATCTGACAGTTATTTGACCTTATGAAAACTTTAGCAACACCAATTATTTCTACGGGAATTGCCTACTACAAAAGGCAGTTGTGGACGTTTTGTTTCGGAATTCATAACTTACAAACACATGTTGCCCACATGTACATGTGGAATGAAAGCATTGCTTCACGTGGATCCCAAGAAATTGGATCCTGCATTGCACATTACATAAAGAACTATGTTGGAACGAAAAAATTGATTATGTACAGTGATCAATGTGGAGGGCAGAACAGAAACTTTAAAATGGCTGCCCTTTGTACTTACATTGTTGCAAGCAACGAATTTACAGTAGAAAGTATAGATCATAAATTCTTAGTCTCTGGACATTCATATTTACCGAATGACCAAGATTTCGGACTTATTGAGAAGAACAAGAAGCACTATAAAAACATCTATGTTCCTAGTGACTGGATGCAAGTAGTGTCTGACACCCGAAAAAAGAATAAGTTCCATGTGGTCGCAATGAAATCCACAGATTTTTTTTCCACGCAAGGTTTGGAAAAGGCGTTAACGCATCGTAAAACAACTGAAAGAGGAGAAAAAGTAGAGTGGTTGCGCATACAGTGGCTACGCTACAGTAAGGAAAAACCTGGATTTTTTAAATTCAAATATTCCAACAACGAAGAGGTTTTTTTTATGAAGCTAACATGACAAAACGGGACAAGAAAAACTTTTTGGAACTTGCCACATTTAATCAGCGATTATTTGCAGGACCAAGGCCGATACAAGTAGCAAAATACAAAGATTTGCTAGCGTTACTTGACTATATTCCTCCGTTCATCACGAATTTTATAAACTACTGCTACACAGTGAACGTGCTGCAGAGGACCTGGACGCAATAGCAGATGATGACAATTAAAAAATATTGTAAATAAAGTTTATTTGCCTTAAATAAATTTAAATAATTGTATTTTCCTTTTTTTTCGTATCACAAGCCCTTATTGCTTTGATAAGTTATAACAAAACCATAAATGCAAAAGTGGCCCAAACCACAATCAAATCTATATTTTTTTAATTACATGCAAAAAAGTAATATTACCATACCTAATATCATTTTACATACAAACATAAAAAAATAAATGATATAATTTAAGTTTTAGAAACATTAATTTGCATTCAAAAAAAGAGCAAAATTTCTTTTGCGATTTGCTCCGTGTTGAATATTTTGGGCTTGGGCCACTTTTGCGCTCAACGCCTCATATTTTCTCATTGAACTTTTTATGTGTTGCAATAACGGCCTAGATTGAATTGTATTGTAAGCTCATAGTTCAAAGTTTGTTAGTATGATAAAATCATTAACCTTTGTGCTGAGGTATACATTATTTGTGAAATTATAAATTACGGATTTGAGCTCAGTTAAGGGCAGTCTATTATAGAAAATTACCTAACCAACAGCTAGAGTGTAATTATTAGTAGCTGTCAATAAAACTGTAATTTTTACTCCAAACTTCAACCATTTATTTGCCATCGTAGATCGAGAAGAATCAGACAAAGAGGCATTAGAAAACAATTCAATTCTGATATTTACATCAAATTGTCCGGTGATCCTTCCACAAAACAACACCAAAAGGGTGTTAAGTGGATTGGAGTTTCGAAGGAAACTACCCTTAGCGACCTGATAGCTATTTTCCAGTTGCGTATAAGATCGACGATCGAATTCAAAGTGTGGAGAAAAGAAAAAATAAGCCCAGAAAGTAACGAGATTAGGAGTAGGAGCCTTACGAGAGCCTTTGAGCACCAGAGAACCTGAATAGCAGTCCTTAAGCCTACTGTTCCAGCAGTTTGGAGGTGAAAAATCTAGCGGCATACAGAGATCCACCTCAGCAGTTCCAGTTGGGGTTCTAAGAAGAAAGCAGAAACATACAAGTGAACGTCGGGATAAAACTGTGAGTATTAAAATATTTATTATAATTTAGAGCAGTGCATTTTTTTATAAATTAAAAATATTGTTAAAGAAACTTAAGCTTCAAATTTTTACTAATACTTAAATGAAAAATTTTTATTCTGCATATCTTTTTACTTAAAATAGTAATATTTTGTCTACTGCCAGTTCA